AGCGTGTCTGCTTCGGGAGAATACCAGAGTGGCAATATGCACACGAGATAGGAATCCGCTTTCAAATGACGTTTCAAACTGCGCAGAAAAGTAAGTGCGCGGGGATGCATAATAGAGTACATCGAAGCGAAGGTATGGTGAGTAGGCAAACGGGAATTCTTTGACACACAAAGAAAAATGTGTATTCACAGCAGCCAAGTGAGATAGTATACGATATTTGGACGCGAGCAAGTGTCCGCAGGTAAGGGCACATTGAAGGTCACGGAGCGCAGTGTATAGAAGTGCTTTTTAAAGCAGGAAACACCAATATACGAAACGTTGCAACGAAGAGTTTCGAGATCTTCTAGCCGGCGCACTAGCAGAAACAAGCGCAATATCCGTCCGTTTGCTTTCCAACAGTCTTGTACCTGGCAAATGAAGTATCCAATAAAGCTCCGAGTCACCTATATGCAAAGTCAGCCGCGTCCCTATGACAATGTTTTAATTTCCTCAGTGAACACGGAGAAGAGAATGTGTCCAGGAGTCAGGCAGTAGGTTGGCCGAAAAGACGGGAGTGGCGCATTCAACGGTTCATGTGCCATTCCATTGCGCCAAAATCAAATCAAATTTGATAGACTACATGCGACGTTTAACCTCGCGGTGGCGAAATTATGCGTGCCAGGTGTTGGCACCAAGCCCTAGACAGCAAATCCCGTGCAAGCCAAATGCTGTTGTCGGATGAATTACTAGGTTAGATTCACCAGGTAAGTTTTCTTGACGGAAACACCAATTTAATTTTCCAGGATATTTAGAAATGACTTTGAGTCACAATGATCCGCTTCATTTAATAAAATAATAAAAGAAATCGATTTCCAGTCCAGGAACGCCAACTGGTTTATCAAAAATGAATAAGGACATCCTGAGATCACTCCAATTTAAATAAGTAGTTATTTAGCTAGTTTGCCACTCCGAGCATTTTGAAGATGCCTGAGAGACGGCCAGTGGATAAAGAGAGATTTGGAGAAGACGTTTTTGGATTTAAACTTCCCATCCCAGACCCAAAGGTTATGGCAACTCGCACTTGGTGAGATTAACAGTACCTAAGCAAATGCCTATACGTCAGTAAGACATTAATTGAAGACTACTAGGGCTGATTAGATGCCCTATGAGCGAGGTTTTCCTCAATTGCAACCAATTGCACATTTGGGGGGAAAAGAGATTTCCAGAAGAGACAAAAAAGCAACTTGGTGTTCGTAATCTTAAAAAAAACCAGAAA